ATTCCAGTTCTAGGAACATATCCAAAAGAACTGAAAGCAGGATCTTGAAAAGATTTTTGAAGACTCATGTTCATAGAAATATTATTCACAATAGCCAAGAGGTAACACAACCCAAGTATCCATCAACAGGTAAACAAAATGTGGAATATACATACAATGGAATATTATTCAGCTTTAAAAGAGAAGGAAAATTTGACGTGTGCTATGTGGATAACTCTTAAGTACACTATACTAAGGGAAACAAACTAGTCACAAAAATACTATTATATGAGTTCACTTACATGTGGTACAGAGTGGTCAAATTCAGAGAAATAGTGTTAGTTATCAAGTCTGGGGGAAGGAGAAAATGGGAAGTTTTTGTTTAATGGATATAGTTTCAGTTTAGCAAGTGAAAAAATTCTGGAGACTAGTTGCACAACAATGTGCATATACTTAACACTGATGAACTACACACTTGAAGTGGTTAAGATAGTTTTTTCTATTGCCTTTATGTGCTCCTCCCTCTGACAGGCCTTAATGTACATCTGCTCTGTTGAGTCCACCTGTGCCAAAATGATTCTCCTTGCAGAGCATATTTTTTTGAGAATTATTAATTAATAAAGCTGCTCAGAGGCTAAGAAACCTGATTATGTAAATGAAATATCCTGAAAGCAGGTTATCATTTCTTCAAATTCACCACAGTTATGTCAAAGACACTGGATATTTAATAATATGTACAATTTTTTAAAGCATTAGTAGGGGGAAAATTATTTTTCCTATTACTAGTCTCAATCAACTAACTGGATGCTATCCTCTTATATGAGTAGACTTCTGGCTCTTGATTATCCTCTGTACACATATTAAGAAAGAAATCTTAATACATGTTTTCAGGAAAAAGTATTTATTTGACACCATTACAAAAATATTTAGGTACATAATTTTCATGTTTATGTCACCTGATTTACATAACTCAATCCTCAGTACCTTTTAAAAACACTAAATAAATCGGTCAATAGAATCTATATTGAAAAAATATTATGAAAGGCTAACATTTGTAGACAAAAATCAGTTGATCATCAGCATGAGAAAGAAAATATTTGTGAACAAAATAATTTCTAAAAACAGTTTTCTGAAACAATAAATCTAGCCAGTAGATTTCTTTTTAAAAAGTATTTTTAATTATAAACAAAGCTAAAAAACAAAACACACAAACAATAACATCAAAACAAACACCAAAGCATCCTGACACTAAGAACTGGAAGACGGGTTTAGAAAACAGAGGTAAGAGCGCCAGGGACGCACATATGCCAACAGCTCATGCCTGGGAGCAGAGGCAGCACAAAGTCAAGGGCATTCATTCTGAGAAGGGAAGGAAGACGGTCTGGCCCGTAGAGTTAAGTGACAAACTGAGGAAGTTTTAACTGAATTACCATTATGAAATGTAATGATCTTCCTCTGATATAGAAAATAGCTTTCCTTTTTTGAAATTTACCATCATAATATGAAAGTAACTTTTGTTTTTTTTAAAAAACAGAATCACCTGCATCACACAATGGTTACAATTATATCAAGCAGCTATTTAAAAAAGAAAAGACAGTGAACAGAAACAGGTAACTAAACATTCCAAGGTCAGGAAATACATTGTCCAGGCCTCTTTCATTTAAGGAGCACAAATTAAGAACCTTGTTTTGCCTACAATCCCACCATGAAATAGGGACAGTAGCCACATTTTCTTTGTGCCTAATAGGTACTAGACATTGCATTAAGTTATTTCATATTTATTATCTCATTTATTATAAATATTTTTCCTCAGGGAGGGAAAAATCAATTACAGCCTTGTTCGTTAGGAGGAAACAGTACTACATAATTATGGGGAAGCAAGAACATTAGCAGCTGAGGAGGAAGAACCCAGGCTATGCACAGAATTCTCAAAGTTGTGTCTCTTATCTCAAACTTAGAAGACTGATTTGAGTTACAAAAGACCTCTCAGATTAAAAAGCTGCTTTCCTCTATGGGAAGGGCACCATAGTACAGTGAGTGACCTGGTAACTGTGCATGCAGCTCTAGTTTACAAATCATTGACTCCTTTTATCTGTTTCCCTTCTCAATTTGGGTCCAGGCCACCACCTTCAGCTAAAGAATTGTATACTCCTTAACAGCGAGACCCATGTCCTATTCATCCATTCCCCCACGCTTAGCAAAATGCTTGATATACAATAGCTGTTCATCAAATATTCACCCACTGAACAAGCCCATGATAAAAAAAAAAAAAAAGCAAAGGCAGGCCCAAAGCCCTAGGTACTCTTCCAAGCCAATCAAATGTGAAATTCCATTATTTGGGTGAAGAACCTACCTCAGCTTTATTGACTGAAAACTCCCATGGATTTCTGATATGATAGGATTACAGAAAATTTGCCAATGCATTTTTTTTAATCTAAATGCAAATTGGATGTTACAAACAACTAACTCATAGTTGACAGCCACATGCAGCAATTAAAATTAAGTGACATGGTAGCAATGTGCAGTCTAGACAACCAGGATTATTCTAATCTATGGCACATTTACTACAAGCAGACTGGCCAGAGGATTTCGCCTTCATTAATTCAAGGAGAGGAGCCATTAGCTCCTTTCAGAATTCTCAAAATAGTTCATCTGTCTTAGTGGGCAAACTAAGGATTTAACTCTATACTGCCTCTTTTCCTTTCAGATGGGAGTTAATAGATCAAAGCATTTTTGCCCATCAACCTTGGAGCAAAATCCAGACATTCTGAGAGACACCAGATTATCGAGCAAATGTCTACACTGTATTATACCAGAAAACCACAAGCTCCAAAAAGTGGCCAGCCACTCTATTCAATCTCAAATTTATCAGGTCACTCTCTCTTTTCTTAAAATGGTGGCAATAGCTGAAGGAGGCCTCTCAGAATCAGAACACAGAGCAGAAGCTGTAAGGTGCTGTACCTGCTCCTGTCAGTCAGAACGTTCAACACAGACAGGGGCTCTGAGGTATAGTGCATTCCGTGAGCTCCACCTATTCATGATTTTCTTAAATTAACCTGGAAGAGAGACAGACTTCTAAGGGAACCTGATCCTCAAGAAGCAGTTCAATCCCTGGAGGAGTTCTAGTCTTGACATATCCAAAGGGCTTTCTAATAGTAAAGTTACCTCCTTCATGTGGCTGACAGAAGGAACAGAATTATTCAAATTATCTCTAGCTAAGCTATTGTATCCAAGCAAAACTAGGCAGTTACAGGCAACATTCATAGCCTAAACTACATATCAACTGAGATCAGCCTGGAGGTTGAATACGTGACAGAGGGTACCCTGTCACTCTCCCTAATTTGCAAAGTCCATTTCTTTCTGACACCAAATTAAGTCAAGCACTTGCCTCTTTGAAAGAATTCAAGCTAACTCAGTTGGCATCCCTGTTTCCTTAGGGAAAGGCAGTTAATCAAATGGAGCATGGTTCAATAGAAAAAATGTGGAGTTTGATTTATAAACAAGTCACCTATTTTCTCTGATTCCTGTTTGTCTAATTAGTAAAATAGAGATAAATAAGACACAATATTCTTGTACTAGAATTTTTTTAGTTCAGATGATCCTGGAAAAAAGTGAGCCTATGGTCTGGGTTCAATGAAATTTTACAAATAGAAAAAAATCAAAATTTTTCTAATTTCCTGTTGAGACACCAAAATACTAATAGTTTTAGGTCAACAGAGCCCAGTAGTTTCCAAATTCAATCGGAAACTAGTGTGTACAGTAGGGCAAAGGTACCAGCTTCTGGTACAGACTGTACAACCAGCCTGACAAACACACTCATCTCCAGTCAATGGATGTCTCTGAGCCAAGCCATGGAACTGTGTTTAACACTTCCCCAAGAGGCAATTCAGGCAATGTCCCTTCACAGGTCCTGCCCCAGGATGCAGCACTGGACTTGAGAGAAGCTGGCAAGCTCATTAAGTGAAGCAGCAGACAGAGCATCTAGGTGGGTATGTCCCAAGGAGAGGTACGTTCATGCCATTTAAAAAGGAAGGAACGCTGACACTGCCAAAGAAAGGTCCAGCCCTGACAATACAAAAATCCCAACCAGCTTTTCCTCTCAAATCAATCATTCACAAATGTGGGACCTCATCATACTGATCTGAGAAGTAAAAAGAGAAACCAAACCCAGAGGCAGCAGGCATAGGGAAAGAGGTGGTGATCACCTTGCCCGTCTGCCATCCTTGTAGACAAGGGGTCAGTCCTGAGCTGAGCTGGTTTACAAAATGCAGCTTTTCACCTCAATGTCACATTGCAGCATTTGGACTCACACTGTGTGGGATAGGTAGGGCAGGTGTTTTAACCCCATTTACACATCTGTAGTTTCTGAGAGCTGAAACAACTTACTCATAGTCCCAAAATCTTCCGAATAATCTAAAAACTAAATTCTCCATCTTACCCTTTAGTCACTATGGCAGGAAGGAGATCTTCCAATTATTTCCCCAAACGGTCTCGAGCACTTAACACAATGCCTGACACATACACTCAGTACATTGTAGTTGGATGAATGAATGAGTCAAACAGATGAGTAAAGAGTACAATGCCTACTTCCTCCATCCCTTCATTATCTCCACTCTACATAACAGAGAGGGAACAATATTTTAAAGGAATCACTCTGCTCATCCCATCAGTTCTCAGGAAAGTGAACATGGAAAGCAATACATTCCAAAACACCATGTATTTTTTTTAGTACCAAAGTTGCTATCTTTGGCAAATGTGATATTTATGAAGACAATGCAATCAATAAGAAAATTCAAAGAAATTTCAGATCGGCTGCATTTCTGGCAAAAGAAAGATCAAACTACTCCAGACACAGCAATGATTTGAATGATAAGGCTCCAGTAGGAGCACATTATATATGCAGCTCTCAGGGACCCCTGGATATCAAACTATGGAATAAAATATTTTCAAAACACTGATGTTTCACTGTCAGAACAGAAGAAAAATAAATTAAAAAGCCCAGTACATTTTCCAGTTTGATATAAATTAATTCAAACAATATATTTAAAATAGAGTCAATTATAAGTTTCTCTCATAAAATTTCAAAAGGCAGCAATCAATCCTTGGATTGTACAAGTGCAAAAGGAATGGCATTTTCTTGTAATCATCTTGGCATCTGCCAGAGTTCTGAGTTGATCAGAAACTTGGGCACATGCAGTTGGAGCAGTCCTCTGGTCACACTGCTCCTTTCCCCTTCATGTCCAGCTTGTTACTGGCCTCTGACTGTTTGCTCAGCTGCTCCTCAGTGAAAGTGATGTACGAGTACACCAGGCTCCCAGCAATACTGCAAAACAGAAAACCACCATGAGGCAAGGAGGAAGGGGAAAAAAGATGAAGGAAAGAATATTTATAACAGCAAAAAAAAAAAAAAAAAGATAAAAAAATAAGTGTTCCATAGTGGGAAATTACATAAATTCATATAATCAAACACTATGCCATTAAAATTACCTAAAATAAAAACAGGCAATGACATCTTAAGTGAGAAAGAATTCTATAAAACATTGATCCTATTTTATTTCAATGAGCATGAAAAAATGCACAATCTGCATCAGAGCAGAAAGTCTGGAAGGAACACACCAAGAATAGTGGTTACATCTGGATGGTGAAATTAGAGTGATTTTTCTTTTTTTCCTGCTAAAACAAGTTCACAGTAGCAAACTTCTCACCTTAGCCCTCAGCCTGTGACAGTTCCTGGTACACTGGTCTGTCCATCAGAAGGGTTTACTCTTTGATTTATCTAACCTAGGGCCTTGCATATGCTAGGCAAATGCTCAATCACTGAGCTATACCCCCTGCTCCAGGTTCACTCTTTGAGGACAGTGATTATTTTAAATATTATAAATATTATTATTATTTATAATTTATTATTATAAATTTTCTGTGAGGACCTCAAATCCACTCAGGATCTATAACCTCCTATACCAATCACTAAGCTAAAAGCAAGCAGAAAGAGCCCAAAGATCAGCATTTCCAGCCTGCCCTGTCCTGCTCTTCAATGAGGGCTGTTACCCAGGGTTTTCTTGGATCTCCAGCCAGTTGGGTGTCTGGGCTGGGATCTGCTTTCAGATTTTTCTGCCATGGGTTTGGCCCTCATCTTCTGCCTGACCCCAAGGCTCATAAACATGCTGCTGATTTGAAAATCATTCTCTTTTCCTCTGAGCTTTGACATCCCAGCCCCAGGCCAGCTACTCACAGTGAGAGAGCCTGTCTCCTGCTCCCACAGGAAGGAAATGAGGCACTGGCATTTTACTGCACAAGCTTACATAAAACTATCCATTCTCTGAAAAACGTCAACCAGTCATACACAAAATCTTCTCCAAGCCAACCTTCCCAATCAGTTTCTCACTGTTTCTCATCTGAGCCTAACAGCACACAGTAATAAATCAAATTGTTACTATTAAAGTCTATTATGTGTCACACATTTTACATTCATTCCCTGCTGTTGCAATATTCCTCCAAGGTATAATATCCCTGCAAAGTACCTTTTATATAGACGAGGAAACTGAATCCTAGAGTCATAAGAAGCTTGCTCAGCCTCGCAAACCATCTAATGATGGACCAGAATAAAGCCCAGGTCAATCCTTCTCCACTGCAATCCTGCCTACTTGATGGCTCCTATCCATTGATACTGCACTTACTTGTTCTTAATTGTCCTCATCATCCTGTAAACTTCTCAAGGTCTTATTCCTTAAGCTCTACAGAATTTCTTACACAGGGCCTGGCACTTTGAAGTGACACAGTAAGTAACTGCTGAACTGAATGTCCTTTATCAGTCAAAAACTGGCCTGGTGGGCCCAATCCTGAGAGTGCCAGTGTTCACAGCGCTTCCTCTTTTCCTTCATATGGTAACTTTTTTTTCCATTTTATTGTGTCCAAATTTGATCTAATTCTTCTGGAAACCATTTGTTTTTCTAGTGTATCAAGTTGATGATTTGCCTGGCAGCTGGGCTGGGACTCAAGGAGATGGCTTACTGAAGTTTTTACCACTAAAGGTAAAAATTCTTGGAGGGCCATACTGGTATCCACACAACAGTCAATTCTCCTTTGCCTCCAAACAAAGAAGAAGGGCTGCTCCTTTATTCCTTCATTCCTTCCCACAGTAACCTAAAAATAATACTCTGTTATTTTTTCCTTTCAAGACAATCTTTGATGTTCATATTGAGCCCAATTCACCTGACTAGAAACACTGGGAAATACAGAGCAGAAGAAGACAAAAGAATGTCCTGAAATTTATTCCAGCCCAGTCCTATTCATGCTCCCAGACCCTATTCTAGTAGCACAGTCAGTGTAATGAGAAAAAAAACATGGACTCTAGGATTAGGTCTTAGTTCAAATCCTACTAGCTCTGGGACCCTGGAAAAATTAATCTGAGATTCCATTCCTGTATTAATCTAGTAAGAATGCTATTATCTATCTAGGCTAGTCTGAGGATTAAATAGGATTAAACCCATAAAGAATCTAAACCTACTTCTGACACAGTAAGCAATCAGGAAATAGCATCCTCTTTTTCTCCCACCTTCCCTGCCAGCCCTAACACAGACCAGAGAGGAAATGTATTGTTAACAAAAGATAGTCCATCCCAGCGGCTCCCATCGGCTCGGGAGGCAGAGGCAGGAATATCATGAGTTCCCTAGCCCCAGAAACTTAGCCAGGCACTTAGCAATTCAGTGAGATCCTGTCTTTAAATAAAATTTTAAAAAGTGCTGGGGATGTGGCTCAGAGGTTAAGCTTCCCTGGGTTCAATTCTCACTACCAAAACAAACAACCAAACAAACAAAAAGATAGTCCATTCAAGCTCTTATTAAACAAATAAATGGCCAGGGCATGTGGCTCTGTGGTAGAGTGTGTCTGGCACATGCAATGCCCTGATCTCCAGCACAGCAGGAGGTGTGTGTGTATAGTACAGGAAAGCACAACTATAAACTAAACTAGATGGCTTACAAAGAAATTTGCTTAGCATAATTCTAGAGGCTAGAAAAAACCAACATCAAGGCAAATTCTATATCTGGTGAGGACCATCTTCCTGGGTCAGATGGTGCCTTCTTACCTTGTCCTTGAATACGGGAAGTGGGGTGGGTCTTTAAGGAATCTCATTTAAGAGAGCTCCAACTCCATGACCCAATCACCCCAAGGCCTCACTCCTAATACCATCACCTTGAGATTTACAACTTAAACATGAATTTTGGAGGAACACAAACATTCAGTCCATATCAAGGAGACTTGGCAAGATGCAAAAGGAGAGTCACATTGTGCCATATAGTTATTCAAATAACCAGAGCAAAATCAAAGCACAGAACCTACTGGTCCTAACTCTGAAGATCAAAGAACAAAGAACAGTTGTCTATTCAATTTTCACAAATTCCAACTTGAGGCAACAACAATAGTTTTTTTTGTTTGTTTGTTTTGTTTTTTTTTTGTTTGTTTGTTTGTTTTAGTACCAGGAATTTAACCGAGGAGTGCTTAACCACTGAGCCACATCCCCAACTCTAATTTTTTTGGGACAGGGTCTCACTTAAGTTGCTGAAGCTGGCTTTGAACTTGCGATCCTACTGTCTCTGCCTCCCAAAAGCACTGGGATTACAGGTGTGTGCCGCTATGCCCGCAACAAAAGATTTCTTATTTCATCTTTATTCCTGACTTGATTATTACCAAATATTTACATTTACAGAAACAGAAATTCATGAATCACTTGAAGAGGACTAAATACTCATCAATAAGTATATTATGTGTCAAGCAGCAATGAATTAATATTTTGCAACGGAATTTTAAATTGCTCTCCAGTAGCATTGGGGAGAAAGAGATGGAAGAAGAGGCAAAAGAAGATAGGGAAAAACCTAGATATTAGGTAGGGTAGGAACCTGTATCTGAATCGCTACCAAAGTCTACATCACAATCTTCTACTATTGCCAATTCATTTTCTATTGGCTCCCTAAATGTTCACTTCAGTGTTGAGAACTACCAGTAGAATTTATATGTTAGACCTTTTTAAATATTCATTAAATTTAAAAATCCTCAGAACTGATCAACAAGATTTAAAAAAAAAATGCATGTTAAAAATAAGGTACAATCACTACAAATCTTTTTTGAAATCCAAGCCATTTTCCACCTGCATAATATTCAAACCACAGACCTACCAAGCTGCTGTGGCAGAAACAGCTGGGAGATGCTTGGAAGAAAAAAGACAAAGCTACAATTTCCTATAATCAGGGGTCTAGTCAGAACATTGTGAGTCTGACTGCGTAGTGCCGAGTTGGCTTTATCTGCTCTGAATCTATTAAATATGATGATTCTACATCATTTATTCTAATCTACTTCTGATCTTTCAAAGCAATGCAAATAGCCTACCTCTTCTAGACTGAGTCATGAAAATACTATCTTTCAATAGTTAAGATGTCTGTTATACAAATAATGTATAGTAAAAATGTCTTCAATGGACCGACCCCATAGCCAGATAACAAGACTCCTGAAGTCCAAGCTTGTCTTCATCTCATCTTAACCACTAACATGCTTGTTAATCTGTCTAGGCAGATGGCTCTGCCTCCTAGATTAAGCCTTGCCTTCTGCGTATAAAACATGCCAAGCCACATCAAAACCTAGGGACCAAGAGGTTCGATTCCTGCTATTTCTAAGAAACACAATTTCTGCCATATAAATGAAACTGGGTGTCTAGAAATCACCTTCCTACAGTGACCAGGGATCCCATCTCAATGTCCATACAGCACTGTGAGGAGCCCCTTCCTATCTTCCTTCTCATCAGCTAAACAAAGCAGAGCTGCATTGTTGCACTCTTCTATCACCATTCAGAGCTTTCAAAACTGAACAGAAACAGAAGAGACACAAAAGTTGAGTAAAAAGCATCTAACTATGGACTCTGCTGCTATAAAGCTGTAACATTCTGCAAATTATTTAACTCCTCAGAGCCTTACTTCCTTCATCTGTGAAATGAAGATTATAATAAAACTCTTGTAGGCCGGGTACAGTGAGCATGCCTGTAATCCCAGCAGCTCAGGAGACTGAAGGCAGGAGAATTCAAAGCCAGCCTCAGCAACTTGGCGAGGCCCTAAGCAACTTGGCGAGAACAAAAATAAAAAATAAAAGGGGCTGGAGATGCAAGTCAGTGTTTAAGTGCCTCTGGGGTCAATCCCTAGTACCAAAAAATAAATAAATAAATAAAAATAAAAAACATCCTTGCAGGACTAACATCAAATTGTTAATATAATTATTAATAGAATTAGTATTTTACTTACTATATAATATGCAATTAATCAGCTAATACATAACTAA